ATCTTGACATAATTAAAGAGATAAGGTATAATACAAGCTGCAAATTCTCTTGAGATGTAACTGTCTACTGAATCACACAGGTTAAGGAAAGAAAAAAAAGAAGCTATTTCTGCTACACTTGGGATTTGGATTGTATGGCATGAACCTGTTAACCACACTGAAATCAAAGAGCGCTATACAGCAGATGAGAGTCGGAAAGCAGATTTGGCGAGCCTCCATCTGAGAGGCTGTCAGTTTGGAGTCACCTTGAATCGCTTCTCCTCAGCAGTCCCTGATAGATGTCAGATTTTAGGAAGCGCGGGTAGCAATCCCTGGCCATCAGACTGTAGATGAGCTTCTGTGCCGTATCAAAGGAAGTCAGGGAGGGCTTGGAGATGTTCTTTGTTATGTTTTCTCTGGTGCCGCAATCTATGTTGATCTGGAATCAAACCATATCGCCCGAAGGCATCTTACAGCAGCTATTTTCAACAACTTGTGAGCAAATTTCTAAGGTTCTACCACCGTGAAGCAGCCACTAAAGGCCTTCTAAATTCAGAGTATGAATAAATAACTCTTTCTCTCTTTCAGCTTGCAGTTGTTTACCTGTCTCGGCGCTTCTGTTTGGACAAACTCGGAGTAGATCCTGTTGGCGGAGGAGATCATCTCTGGCGCCGTCTTGATTTTTTTATACTCCTCACAGGCGAGCCAAAACAGAATGTTCTCCTCGCTGTACTGGGACTTCAGGAACTCCCGGAAAGCTATCTGCCCGGCTGAAAATCACAACATTTTTTAGGTTGGATAGCAATATATACAATCACGTATATGCACAGACAGGAGAGACTCGTACCTTTACAACCAAGGACTTTGTCCACGGACTCACTCCAAGTCTCAACATCTCCCAGTGGATCCTTGGGAAAGCAACACAATCTACCCTTGAAAAGAGCATCAAGATCTATCACTAGCCAAGTTATCTGTGAACTCAACAGCACAATGCACCTGCAAACCACACTTGCATGTTTTAAAATGACTTGCAAACAGTTCAGAGCATTGACATCAACCTAAAAAATCACTAGCAGACCCTTCAGATCTCAAGACACAATGCAAATTGAGACTTACAGTGAGAAAACTCTTCGATATTTTCCACATGGTTGCTGTAAGCTGTTGCCTGCTTAAAAAAGGTAAAGGCCTCCAAAAAATTAAATATGCAGTAACTCACTTTATAGCCATCTCCTAGTCCTGTTAGGAAGAAAGACAAAGATAAGATCCTGCCAGACTGAAGATGGGGTTGTGATTGTTTGGAAAGGAAGGAGTCAAGTGACTGAACAAATCTAAATGACCCACACCCAACATGAATGGAATATATGGAAATCTTTATGCAAAGTGTTGTCGGGAGAGACGGGGCATCCTTCCGTGTCTGGAAGAGCTCGGCTGTGATTTTAAATGACCGCAAATGTTCTACAAAACTGTGCTCATCATAACTGTGGATTTGACAAAATGAAGATAGCAAGTAGTAATATAAATAACCTGAATTAAGATGATTTAAACTACTAACTACTTTAGATTTCCGTTCATCAGTAATAACTACTGTATATTCTACTTTGGGCAAGCGAGTATAATCATATACAGTATATCATGACATAAAGTTCTGCCTGCTGTGGTAGAGCACTACATGTCAAATTCAGAACAGGATTTAACTAAAGGATTAAGCAATGGTCAGGAAGCTCCCGACCATAAACAAATAGCCAAAAACAAATTCACTATTAAGGAAAACTCTCGTCATCCTGCCATTTGCATATCTGCAGTGTTCCTTATTCATCAAGACAAAAGCATAAACAAGCATTAAATGAACAATGTGTGCCTTATACCTCAGGTAATGCTGGGGAAAACCAACCTTTGAAACTAAAAGCGTATCATTTGGGAAGAAACGTTGCATGTTCATTAGTCAATGATGAGGGTATTACAATTCATCCTGAGGGGAACATGAATGAATGTGCCACATAACATAGTAATCCATCCAGTAGTTGTCAAGGCGTGAACCTCATAGTGGTCCTCGAGGAAAAAACTCAGGGGATCACCAAATTCAGGTACTTCATTTAGTGCCGATGCATTGAGTAGGTTAAGATATTTCTAAGTTTGAACTTTTACATGTTGGCAGAGCTATGTGGAAAGTCAGAGAATCACTACAGTTGTTGGGATTCATCCTATGGGGAACATGAATATCTGTACAAATGTCCTTGTTTATCTATTTAATGGTGGTCAAGAGTTCATAACAAATCTTCTGGTGGTGCTACGGGAAAAGTCTGGGGAGCCCCAGAGTGAGTGGGATTCATCCTCTGGGGAACAGGATTGTCTTTAATCACTTCCATGGCAATCCGTAAAGCACTCATTGGGATTTTTCAGTGTGGACTAAAACGGTTGACAGTCCAACCAACTGGCAGAAAATAAACATTAGCATTCTTAGATCATTTTCGTGAGCATGAATATTAGGTAAATCATTTAATGAAAAGTGTCAATAGTGTTATTACTACCATTTTTGGACTCCTCGTTCCCTTGCCGTCAAGGTTTTCTTTTAATATTGTTTTTTAAGATGCCTGAAGTAAGGTTGGTGGTTTTCACAGGCTCAAGAAATGTTTTACGTTGTGTTCTATGACAGGTTTAGGGTTCTAGGGTTAGGGTTAGATTAAGTAAAGCAAAGCTTTTACTTGTCTCTAAAAAGGCAGTTACTTATACATGCCATCAAGCTGAACATTAGTTCACCTTTATGTTTTTGACATGAATTTATGAATCCTTGGTGTGGTTTGTTTTTAGCCGTTATCTTTTTCTTCTGACGATTGGAGTTACGCTTCAGAAAAGTAAAACTTTCATTTGTGTAGACCATCTTGCACTAAACACTAAAAGTGTTAGTATCCTCATCGTTTATGTTTTACACAGAGCTTATATTTTGCAGTACTCCAATGGAAAGAACATATTGATTTTTTTCTCAAGGAAACCAGCACGATTGTAACTCCCAGAACTCTTTTCAGTGTTTTTAGTGTACTTTTCAACTTTCATCAAACGATGTTTGATTTAAATGTTCTTGTCCTTAATTAGTTTTTTAAAAAGACTCAAATAGATCAACACAAGAAAGATATTTCTGACTTGCCATTACAAAGCCGAAGGGAACATACATAGTCACGTTATCCTGAGCTATATGTGGAGCAATGTCCCTTAGCTGTAAAAAAAAGGAACATTAAATTGTAAACCAAACAGTATATCAGATACAATACTTCCAGTGTGTTATAACCCATGGTTTTATTCTGTCCTGTCAGTGGTGGAGATGTTGAGGGTCCAAACAAACCAATAATGTAAATCACAACAGGTGATGGAAAACACCCAGGCTACCCGTATTTGCATGTGTGTAGACGCACCAGGTCAAGAAATTTGTTTTTCAAAAATGGCACAGCCAGGAAAGGAGTACTGGGGAGTGTCTTTGTGAACTCATTGCAAAGTTCTCAAGATGTTCTGTATTGTTGTAATTCAGCCTTTCATGTTCTTCGATCAAAAGTTGTTCTGAACAGTCAGTGTATCCATCCACAGCAAAAGGGACAACGCTGAAAAAGCTTATTGTAAAAGATCATTGATATATTCCCAAATAAATTGAAATGGGTTAGACCAAGTGTCTTTGGTGATACAGCAAAGCACTTCATACCAAGATACATTTTTTCCAACCTTACACAGGGTGGCACTCTCGTCCTCTTCAGGCCCCCAATCTGTATTCGACAACAGCACCATTTGTCTAGCTTTCTCTGTCATTGATAGCAATTTCTCTTTGCTGTTGGTCCTGCTTGTTTTATTTATCCGATCACAAACATGGTTTTGACCCTTCTCCTGCAGGGTGGGGGCTGGTGCACGAAAAACCTATTCCAATTAGTTTTCAAAGCCCTGAAAGTAAATCAGTAAGCATGCCAGTGATTTAATTAGAAAGTGTTTCATCTATTTGTCTCGACTTGTAACATGAAAATAGCAAACAACAGGGATCCTTGCGGTGAGATTTGTTACTTTTTTCTTTTCAGCAGTGATCTTTTCCGATTTTTGAAGGCCCTAAAAATAACATATTGAGCAAATTAAATTATAGACAAATTCAAGGTCAAGCATCTACTTGACCTCAGTGAAAAATAACCCAAAGATACAAAATGTTCAGCATGTTTCCACTTGGCCCAATGCAGCTGACAGATGGTAGAGTATTTTTCTACAGAAATGGTTTGAATGATATTTAGCCTTCAGCAGAGAATCTGTCTAAATTCTCAAGAAAACCACTCAACTGTTCATTGGCGAACATGTGGTCGCTTTCAGAGTTGTAGGAGGTTGCCCGCCAATCATTCAACTGAATCTTAGTTTTCCCCCATATAAACACAATCTCCTTGTTGAGGTCCCAACACTTTGGTTTGGCATTTAGTATTGCAAGTACAAAGTTTCACCTTGAGACTGTCAATATCGTTGCAGGCCAGCAGCATCAAGTGCAAACGGATTTGTATGGGGTACATTTCACAAGTCAATATCTAAGCCTGGGAGTCGGCAACTCTGTTACTAAATTTGTCTCACGTAGAGTTAGATAAAAGCTTCAAAGATGAAACAAATATGTTCTTAAATTGGGAACATGTGGTGAAAAAGTTTTAGTACCAGAGCCCAAGGGTGTAAAACTTCTGACTGACTTTTGCTAAGATTGAGGAATCTTTTAAAAAGCAACCCATTTGTTTGAGAGAATGTGTTTTTTGTTTTGTTTTATACATGTAGTACTGGTTCTCATTTAGTTTTACAAGCATTATATTGTTAGGTTAACTGTTCTTTCAGTCTTTTGTTTCCCTCCAGTGGATCATGTTTGACTTGTGGATCATTTCAGAGGCTTTTTGTGCAGACTGAGTCACACATTTAAATACCAATGAGAATTTGTATTTAGTGGGCAGGTAATCTTAAACTGTAATGAATTTACCAGGACAGCTCCTTCGACATTTGTTACAACTTCATCCAATCAATCGACAATCAATCAATCACATTTTATTTATATAGCTCAATATCACAAATTATTCATTTGTCTCAGGGGGCTTCACAGTTTGTACAGAATACAACACCTTGTGTCCTTAGATCATCCCATCGTACAAGGAAAAACTCCCAAAGAAACCCCACAGTTAAAGGCAAGCCTGAGCCAGCCCTAACTATAGGCTTTATCAAAAAGGAAAGTATTAAGCATACTCTTAAAAGTGGAGAGGATGTCTGCCTCACAAACACAAACTGGAAGCTGTTTCTACAGAACTCAGTAGTCGCATTACATTTTCCCATCTTCTCCGTGTGTGAGTGGACTCGTGGATGCCTAATTCATGTGAAATGTGAGGTATTGAATTCTGTTTCTTAGTTTATTTTTCAAAATTATAGTTATTTAGGCTGAGATGTCTGGGAAGGCTTCTTGAAAGAACCCTGGCATCTATGTAAATAAGATAAACCAACTCTTTCTGTGTTGTATATGTGATAAATAAAATGTAAAAATATTGAAATCACGATTAATCACATGATGTCCATAGTTAAATCGCCAATTAATCACAAAAAAATGTATCTGTTCTAAATGTACCTTAGAGGAATATACTCTTATCAACATATGAGTGGACAAATATGCTTTATGCAAATGTTTGTTTATTATCATTGGAACAATGAGTTTCATGTATGTGACAAAACATTTCCTGAATATTCTCAACACAACAACCTGGAACCTCTCTCTCTTACACTCTCTCCCAACCCTGTCTACTTATTTGCACTGAGCCAGTTGCTCAAACAGACAAGCCTGTTTACAGTTGTCGGCAAAATGCCTCTCCTCTGTCTTCATAACAGTCAAAGCATGAGATTGAAGTTCCCACCTAGGGTCAAAATAATGCGCTGTGATGTGCAGTCGACACGTTGGATGCGATCCGAATTATCTAACGCAGCCCCTCGTCCTCCACAATGTTAAGCTGTAGCCACCCATTTAGCTATCGCTGTTGTTGTCCAGGCGTCTCCCCGGCAAACTTTCAAGCGTGGTCTGCTGCAAGCGAGCGGCAGGAGCTGGGCTGTCAGCAGGGGCGGACTGGCCGTCTGTAGAATCTGGAGAACCACAGAACGGCCGGTCGTCAAGTACGGTTGACGGCCAGCGTTCCGGATTAACTGGTTTTCCGATCAACTGGTTTACAGAGGTGAGGGACGTGGCCTTCGACTGAAATACCCATTTTGATCGCTTCTTCTGTCGTTTACATAAATCTTTTGGTATATTTGGCTCGGTAGGAAGACTTTGATGCACATTCAGTACCAGTGTGTGAGGTTGTGGTTACGATGGCGATATCCAGACGCGAACAGCGAGGACTACAAAAAGAAAAACGAGTTGACCGGGGATGTCTGTTCAAAACATTGAATAAATCATTTAAACCAGCTATTAGCTGACGGCCGGCACCGCCCTTACTTTATTATGTTTTTAAACGACCTCATCGAAGTTGCGCCGACAGAGGTCCGCCGTTTCCCCGCAGTGAGGCTTCCCGCCAGTTGACAGTTCACTAGCACCCCCCCCCCCCCTCTCCCACCATCCAACTATCAACAACAACAACGTCAAGCCTTTGGGTTCTGAAACTACGGGGCGGGCCGAGGACAAATACACATTATTAACGCGTTAACTTGACAGCCCTAATATGTGTGTATTCTCTATGCAGTTGACATTATTAATTACTCCTTTATTTTTTCCACGCACATACTTTGGGGGTGAACTCAGTGGGATCTCTGACATTCCAAATTCAAATGTATTTGTCTTTGTCAGAAGTGTAGCCTGTGCATACATATACAGTCACATGAATAGTTTTGTGCTAGAGCAATGGGAGTTGATAAGGTCTATTCATTTTTCAGCGGTTTGGAATAGGGAGCAACACATAAAAACAATTTTCCACTAGTCTAATATGTACACATTATGTCTCCATTTTTCACATTCAGATGTGGTTCAAACTAATTAATAACACTGAAGCCCTCATTAAAACGACTTTATTAAAAAGTGTTTATTTGACTTTAGTATACATTTTAGAACAGCAAGGCAACATATGAACATAGATAAATTATATTAGATGGCAGCAAACTGAAAAAGCAGCAATCATAAGTTATATAATAATTTCATATTAGTATTCATATAAGATATGGATTTTCGGACTGAGAATTGATACATTTTAATTCATTATAAAGAGGGATATACTGTAAATCCCTCATTAAAAGCGTTCAGTGCTTTGCAGTCACCTAAGCTGCAGGCTATCACTGCAAGGTAGACTGAAAGGTTTTTTTAAATATAAATATAAAATCTAGTCCATTTTTATTAGAAATGGTACAATTAGCCTATTTGCCATTTCAACTGTATTATGGACATATACAGTTCTATTGCTGGTTTGGAAGATAAAGCAATTGAAGTGTAATGCTTCTGAAGAAGGAGAGGGGCCTCAGTGTGGCTGCCTGTACGGCTGACTGGGTACTGTCGGTAGCGTTCAGGCACTTCAGCTGAGATTCTGTCTCGAAACATCCCACTGCCTGTCATTCAAGTTTTGCAAGATTTAAAGTAACATACAATTCTTCAATAAAGGTTTAATCCACAAGCAGTATTTTGACCCCAAGGAAAGTAAATAGAGAGATTGTTCCATATGTGCAAAGTGAATACTCAGTTCTGATCCGGCCAGAGGGTGAAGATTATTTTAAGATAACCACATTTGTCTGAAGTAATTGCCTCGTAACTTTTCAAACGTATTCGTATGGCTGAACGGCTAGTGGTGTCATCTCTTGTACAGAGGGGTAGTATATTAATGGTTCGACATCTTTGGAAATACGCTAATTCACTTTCTTGCCAAGATGATAAAACAGAGTGAGATGAGAAAATGTATACCAATTGTCTGTAGGATAGATACAAATCTACCACTAGCCGTCAGTTAGCTTAGCTTAGCCGGAAATGAGGGGATACAGCTATCTTATCTTTCTAGAGTGTTGTTGTCCTCATTTTTGTGAAGTTGTCAGGTAACAAACAAAGACTCCAGGAAGTTTCGGTGTAATTCCCGCAACCCAACATGTCATTTTTTACTTGTAATATACAACCCAGTCTCACGGCATTTCGTGTTATAGTCACAAAATTAAATTAATTGAATCTATTGATTCGTGTTCACCAACACGATTTTTGCATTTTTTTCTTGTCACACAGAACGATTTTAAAAGCAATGTATTTCTATTGGTAGTATGTTTCGTGCCTCCACCACGTCTTTTTGTCCGGTCGGGTCTTACTCAATATCTTACCCTAAGCCTAACCCTATCCCTTTTATTTTAAATTGTATAATGTCGGTTTTTTTGCTGTCCGTGAGGAAAATAAATGGGGCAAAGAGCCTCAGAATACTGAATTCTGTATTTTTTTAAATCTGTTTTTCCTTCTAATTTATTTTTATTTACATTGCTTTTAAAATCGTTCTGTGTGACACGAAGAAAATGGCGAAATTGTGTTGGTGAACACAAATCAATAGATTAATTTTGTGACTATAACACGAAATGCCATGAGACTGTGTTGTAATATAAGCATGTTTTTAATTAAACAAAATAAGCTTCCCACATTTAGCTTGAAGTCAGTAGCTAGCTAGCTCTAGCTTTAGCTGGTTCCTCATTAGGGCCTTGCTCTTCCTCAGCTTCATCCTATCATTCCAATATGGCCACTTCTGGTCTCAGACAACCAAGATGGCTAAAATGCCAAACTCCGCAAACCAATGGGTTACGTCCCGGTGGCTACCCTCATTTAATTTATCCAGTCAATGAATAGATTAAACAGTAGAGCTATAACATGTTACTCCTAATGCTAGGTGTATTTTGCTAGAGATTTGTGCACATCCAGGCTAGCTATTTCCTTATGCTTCCAGTCTTTATGCTACGCTAAGCTAACCAGACGGCTGTAGCTGTATTCATCTTACATCCTTGAGAGTGGTAACAATATTCTCATATATTTCTTGAAAAGAAAGCAAATAACCCACTCGATCTGCAGAAGCAAACCTGTGGCTAATTAGCACAGTGCGGTTAAACAATTATGATGCTACTCATGGAATATCTGTTATTTAAAAATCTATTTCACAGAGTGAGGGACAACATTGAAATGCTATCTCTACCAGGCCAAAGGTTCATTTGTAGCCTCACCCCTGTCATTGAATACACAGGAGCGTGACCTTCTGCGAAACATGTTGGCCCCAGGCCCTTTCTTCCTGGTGAGACCCAAATAAATGTCAGAGTTGAGGAACCTGGGAAAGGAGTCCTTTTTCATCAGGCTGTAGATTTTTATCTGGGCTGCTTCAAAACAGCTCATTGTGGGCTTTGCCATGACCTTCTGAATGGCCATCTTGGTGTTGTAGTCGATGTTGACCTAAATGAATGAAAATTATTTAAAACACAATGAATGAAAACTCAACTACATCTATATCAAATAATACACCATATACAATGATGCACAGTTTAGTCCGTTTTTTTGTCATGATTTGGATAAGGTTTATGACAGTGCAGGCATTGCACGTAAGCATAGATGGAAAAGGAGAAAAAGCCCCCTGGGCGTAACCAGGGCAAATGCACCCCTACATACATGAAGAACAGGAGCTTCAGGCCAACAGATACATCTTGTTGGTCATTTTGCATGTATTTGCAGGCGTTTTGCACCTCTCTTTGGTTGTATTTTGTCTCTTTTTTATTGGTGTGGATCTCTTTGTAGATGTTTTGCATGTCATTTTGGTCTGTTTGTGTTCAAATGCGGTCACTTTGTGTCTATTAGATTTGCTTTTTAGTTGTTTTTCGTCTTTCTGAATGTTTTGCATCTCTTTTCGGATGTTTTCTGCTCTATTTAGTCATCTTTGTTTCTCGTGACTTCACAACAAGAAATGTTTGGCCCCTGGGCCTATGCCTAGTAAGCCTGTCCATTTATTAATCACCGTCTGTATGCATGTTGTTTTTCCTGAGAAATAAGTTCTCCCCGACCTGAATACAATAATGTATTTCCAAAGGGGAAATCAAATGCGCCAAAGCTAAAATATGGTTTTATTCATGACCCTGCTGTTTGGTGATAAAAGAGACTGAGAGCTGATGAGGAGAGATTCTCCGTTTTGGCCGTCTCTTAGCTTAATTCGGTTGAAGGCATTCACTGACAAACATCCGCTCCCCATGTGTTAATCATCTGATGCCTGCTTTTGTGAATGAATTGTAGGTTTAAATACTGATAAGGACAATGTTGGCAAGACATTCTTTTTAAAATATCAGCGATGAAGCTTTTTACACAGCAATATAAAATATTCACCACAGCTCTCAAATATGAATGCATATCAAACTGCAACTCTCCCACCTTAAATATTGAAGGTTACATTCATTTACATTTGGATATCTCTGCAAATCACTCAAGCTGTTTTATTCTTTCACGCTAGCACAGCATGTTTCATATTTACACAGGCGATCATGTTAGAATGAAAGTGTGTGGGTGATGCTCTCTGCAGTTCTGCAGAGGACTGTGGAAACCACAAACCAGACAGCACACTCTCAACGGTCAGATCCACTGCAGGTCATGAAAGCATGGTCGCAGCATCCTTGCATGGAACGGAAACCTTCGAAACTGCGACTGTGTCACACAGAAATAACCTGAGCTGCTTTGCACTACATGCATGACCTCAGCAAGCGGTTGCTCCTAACGATTGTTCGCAAAGGTCAAACCACTGAAGGCTCATGACTATGCAATGCTTAAGAATTCACCCACTGTTATTTTCATATAATGACATATATATTTCAAACCTCCAACAGCATTACAAAAGCCAAAGGCAAAGGTAAAGCGTTGTTGAGCCTTTGCAGCTCAACATAATAGCCTATTATGCAGCATTACATCTAGGCCTACACAGTTTATGATTAATATAAATGCCATGCCGTACCTCTTTAGGCGCCTCCGATTCAATATAAACCGTATAAATATATTTGGCTTTGGACAGCAGCTTGGTCTCAGAATCAATGGTCTTGTATTCTTCACAGGCCAACCAGAACTCGATGTTTTCCTCACTGAACTCGGACCTGAGGAACTGAGAGAAGCTTTCCACCCCATCTAATGAAGAGAAACAAAGACAATGTTATTTACATTACATTACATTACATTGCATTTAGCTGACGCTTTTATCCAAAGCGACTTACAATACGTACATTCGACCAGGAAGACACAACCTTGAAGAAAACAGAATCATATAAGTACATCAGGTTTCATAGAGCCAAACATTTCAAGTGCTACTCAACTGGCTTTAGATAAGCCAGCCCTTTATCAGTATATAAGTGCTTTGTTAGTAATTCTATCGCTCGAAGTGGAGTCGAAAGAGATGAGTTTTCAGTCTGCGCCGGAAGATGTGTAAGCCTTCTGCTGTCCTGATGTCCATGGGGAGCTCATTCCACCATTTTGGAGCCAGGATAGCAAACCCACGTGTTTTTGCTGATGGGAACTTGGGTCCCCCTCGCAGCGAGGGTGACCCAAGTTCCCATCAGCAAAAACACGTGGGTTATTTACTATAAACACAATACAAAGACGCAATACTGTTCAACATAAAATGTATATTGTCAGTACCTTTGGGTAAACAAAGCTCACATTAGATTATCAGGATGTGTTAAGGACCACTGGTTGAATTTAAAGGGGCCCTATTATGCTTTTTGGCAGTTACCCTTTCCTGTAGCATGTTATATAGGTTTTTGTGCATGTAAATTGTCTGCAAAAGCAGGCTAAGATCCTCCTTTGTTAAACCTCCGTAACATAGTCACTCTGTAACACTTGCGCTTCTAAAGGCTAAGGGGCGGGACATCTCTAAGCGGTTGACCAAAACAGAGCCGGCCATCTAACAAATCAGAGCAGAATGGGCTCTGGTTTCAGACAGAGGGTGAACTGCAACAGGCAGTATGAGAAAAATAAAGACCTTATGAACATTAAAGAACGTAAACATCTCACAGGCACACAATACAAATATGAATTCTGAATTATGTTTTACTTCATTACATTTGTCTGACCTTTGGCTTTGATTACATTTAGATAACAGATCTCGTATGTGTGTAGATGTGTTGATATGGTTATGATATTTGTTCTATTTATTTGGGAAATTGTATGAAAAAAGAGCGGGGGTTTTACATGTAGGTATGATGTCAGGGTAGAAGGAGGGTCCAAAAACACCAGACCACTCTGTGTGAGTGTGAAACTATAATTTATTTAGTTGACATGCAACTTCTGTACCTACAGTACGTAAAGCCCCCTCAGTAGCTATTTTAACCTAAACATTGACTTACTTGTCACGTAACTACGTGACTTAGTTATTTTAACCTAAACCACAGAAAAACCTAACCAAGTTGTTTCTTGTGGAGACAGAAGTTTATTTTGTAAAGACTTCATGTATGTATGGAGTGGTCATTGAAAAATGACTTTTTGTAAGATATCATACTGTATGAATTGTGTATGAGGATACATTTGCTGAATATGGAGTGTAGATGGAGTTACAATTTGCAACCCTCATAAATCAAAAGCTGTTAAAAGAAACATATGCATTAATGTAGCAGTAATATTAATTCTGAAACATCATATAAGAGGGAGTATTTTAGTGCACAATCATAATGGTACTCTTTGTACTGCACACATATCAGAATACTTCTTCCACCTCTGTTCCTTCCTCTTAAAAGTCGCTAAAAAGGGCCAACTGTACAAACAATAACTTAGCAATAACATAACCCTTCAATAGCATAATTATACTTATAGTATTATACATCTTGAATGCTATCAATAAAACCATTCCAAAATGAGCATATTCAGTGGTTCACAGTGTTTCAAAGTGACACTACAATGCAACTTCTGTGCTTATGAGGAAGTTGCACAGTTTCTGTATTGCTATCTGTGCGGACAAACATTAAAAGATGTAGTGAAACTAGCACTTCTCATTCCATTAACTATTGATTGCCCCTAGCACTTCTTATCAGTTAACAATTCAAATGTAGCAAACAGTTTGAGGGCAGAAGACACCCTTTTGTGCAACAATTTGCCTCGACGTACTAGTGAACCTTTGGGCATTAATCTGACCTGAGTGCTTCAGCAGTTCTTCAAAGGAGTCGCTCCATTGCAAAGCCGCCTCTGGTGAGATGCTGCAAGAAAATCAGAGATACGCTCAGCTCTTCCCTATTGATGCAGCAAGTAGTGTTGAGGTGTGCTTTGACACGTCTACATGCCATGTTGCTGCCAGTGTGCAATGAGTCATGGAGGGTACTGGAAACCGATGTTAAACATGAGTAATACTTGTCAAACATAATATTTGATATAAATGCAGTTTGCCTTACTTGCTGGGTGGCGTATTTGTCTTTTTATGGGGACTGACGTTTTCATGAGAGCCCGACTTGGTGAGAAAAAGGCTGAGTCGGCTCTTCCTCTCCTTGTCTTTCTGTCTGCAAACACAGGAGGAAATACATCAAGTTCCACAAACTGTCAGGCCCTTATACTGTGAACCAAATCAGCAACTTATCAGAGAATAACTCCTCGCAGACACGTTGCTAAAGTGCCATAAATTACACAACATGTCTTTGTGGTCCAATACAAATTGGAAGAAAAGTCTCGCTTGTAAGCGTGTTCATGGAGAGACTCATCATGGAGGACAGCTTTTGGAAGTCTATCAGCCTTAAATGGTGCCAACTGCACTCATTTTCAGGTATTATATAAAAACATTAGATCATGCAGTATTATGTTGCTTTTTAGTAAGAAGAGACCACAAAGAAACATGCTATATCTCTACTCATGACAAAAGTTCACTTGTTTTTCTACATTTACTAAAACAGACTATGAAATGAGTTCCTCTTAAAACAAGTAAACAATAGAAAACAGCTGAGTTTCACACACCAACCTGCTAAAATCGTCCTTCATCTTTGGTGCCTGCGAGTGTTGTGGACCAAACATTTTGAAATACGCTTCCTCCTTTGGGGACATGTAGTTGAATTGAGGAAATAGAAAAAGAAGCGTCTCCATGCTGTTTTGTGTGTATCTGTTGTGCAAAGCGGCACACCACAAATAGCTCTCTGACTTTTTTTACCCATCACGCGGTGAACCATCTCGTCTTTTATAAAACCTGCTCGCATTTCATTTCCCATACCTTTTGCTCTACTTCCTGTAATGGTGTTACCACTTGCAGCTAACAGCTCCATCAGTGATACAGAAAAGCCCCTGGGTCCAACATCCTGTCAACTGTTTCCTTAGAAATTATTATAATTATTCAATAACACATTGTCCTCAAGTAATTATGATCTAATAACATACTGTAGGGGCCCCTAAAACCAACTACGGGATTTTGGTAGATTTTCGTGATATTTGTACACTGTCACTATTACAATGGTTTTATATGGTTAATGTTGTTGATTTAATCATTTTTGAGCTTCATTTTAATTGTGCGATCCCGGGCGTTTTCTTTATTCAGCAATTCCACTTGCCCAACAAGCAAGGCCAGATACTGCAGAGATGTACAGAATGAAATGGACTAAATAATAAAAATGTGCCTGTGCCGACTGTGGGCTCTGCTCTTTCCAGAACATCAGCGCCTTAATGAAGAAAGACAAACTTATGTGACACAGTGGAATGGGTGCTAGATATATGTGATGTCTCCTTTATAGAAATACTAAAAATCTGTCTTTAAAAATATCAGTGGAGGACCTTGACAATGTTTCTTTAGTGTTCAAAACAAATGTACAAATTGCTACAGGAGAATAATAATCATACTGGTACAGTATGCAACTTGGAAACTCAAAGCCTCCAGTGTACACTCACTGAGAATAAAGATCATCATACTGTTGATCATCATTTTATTGCTGTATTTGGTGTGTTTGTAGACCAAAACAAATTGTCAGCATATTTTTAAGGGAGATTGACAATCATCACTGCCCAACTTTAATGTGGGCAAATAAAAAAACATCAATGGCCGCATTGTGGGTTGATCGTGAAATTATACAAATGCATGCAATACTACTTTACATCACATTTGGCTCATTCAAGTTGAGCAGAAAAGGAGAAATTGTTTTAGTTTTGGAGGTCATTTTTGAAATAAATCAGGACCCTAAAAGCTAAGTAGATTCCAAGCCCTGTTTATCCAGACAATGTGATATAATACCGAAAGATAAAAATATTTCTCCCAACAGTTAAAAACGGTTTCAAAGCAAACGCTGTGAAATGTCGAAGACAACCAATTTGACCATTGTGTTGCAGATTTTATGAGTCTAATTCATAAACTTTAAAGAGAAAAGAAGGGAGGGCTAGGTGGCTAGCTGTAGCTAGCTGCTAGCTAGCCACCACAGACTTCACAAGCAGTTCAGCAGTCATAGACAGAGTACAGTAGGTTACAGTAAGTAAACAAATATTTGATGTATAGATGAGAGTAACACCTACGTCACTTCCGGGCAAAAATTACGGCCCGCCCACTTTTGGGGGAAAACAACGCTGTCATTTGAATGCCAATCCGATCAGATATTTTTGAAAACCGTGGATTTTTGGATCTTCAAAGATGGCCAGTCAGGAAAACAATTACATTAAATCATTTGAAATCGACGATTGGGCTCGATATATGGTTACATTGAAATCAGTAGGCGAGGCCGTAATTTCGCATGAGCGAGGCGGAAAATAATAGTTTTATCATACCAAAAAGCAGCTGTGTCGTTTATTGCACATCAAACATAAAAAAAAAAATCCAGAGTTACGTTTTTCTGTACTTCCTCTAAGAAAAAAGGACAGTAAAAGAGGAGCTATGTGTCTTCAGGCTTGATCGCCATTCAAATGTTTTTCCCCAAAAGTGGGCGGGGCCGTAATTCTCGCCCGGAAGTTACGTAGATGTTACTCTCATCTATGGACATTGATCGCCTACTGCTATATTTAACCATATATCGAGCCCGATCGTTGATTTTTAATGATTTAATGTAATTGTTTGCATGTCTGACCATTGTAATCGGCCTCTTTGAAGATCCAAACATAGACGGTTTTCTTACATTTCTGATCAGATTGGCAAACACTTCAGAATTTGTATTGACCGCCATTCAAAATGACAGCTTTGTTTTCCCCCAAAAGTGGGCGGAGCCACTTTTGCCCGGAAGTGATGCATGTGTTACTGTCATGTATAAGCACCACAACTTTTCATACACCTGTGTATCTGCAGGCTAATTCAAAGACGTGGTTCAAACATAATATAATAAACTTTATAGATAATAGAAAAGAAGGAAGGGCTTTGGAGGAAAATAGTAGAAAGTATTGAGTTCCTTTAGACCTGTGCACGCTCCTAGCTAGCAGCTGGCTAACGCTACAGCCAGCTGCTAGCTAGATGGCACAGACTTAAAAAGCAGTTCAGCAGTCAGAGTAGAGCAAGTGGAACATTATATTAACTTTGTATTCACTTATCTGCAGACTAATTCAAAGCCTCTATTTTCTAACATGAAAAGCAATACCCATCGATTAAAACAACTAATTATGTGAAGCAAAGGCTCTTTGCTGTACAGCTATGAGCCAGTGGGCCTGATAAACTGAAGCTGCAGTGTCCTTTTCCCTTCAGGTACTCAGTGAAACCGAATTAAATAGCAGTCAGTTAGCTTCACTGTGTGCCTTCGTCTATGTCAACATACCAAATAAGAGAACAAACAAAATCAATAAAATGACGTTCTCCCACCAGCTGGGTACAAATGATTAGAATTGTGAAATCATTTTCTCAATAATAATTTAATTTACATTTTTTATTATGTTTCCTCCAACACCACATCTTTTGTTTGGTACTCCATGCAGTGTTATCACATTGCATGGAGAACCAATGCATGTATTGCCAGAGAAGAGGTTAGAAAGCTAAAAGCAGTTTAGCTCAGGGATAAACAATTTATAGGAATTGTGCCTGAACTAAGCATTACGTTTTGTCTGACACCAACAGTTACATTATGAGGAAATCACATGGTATGGTAAACAGTTAATGTCATTTAATTTCATCTCATTGTGTTCCTGTAAAATGGCACCACATAAGACAGCTGTTAGTAGCTTATGCAAATAATTCTTTATGAATGTGTTTTGGATGCTGCCTGGTAAAAGGAGAAGCGAGGGAGTTGAAACTGCTGACGGGTGAAGGGGGAAGGAGGGGTGTTGTTACTTCCTGTCTAAGAACATCTGTTCACGTAAGTCTATAGTCTGCCTGGCATGTCTGCACATTTTGCACACACACACACACACACACACACACACACACACACACACACACACACACACACACACACACACACACACACACACACACACACACTAAAAATGGGACAACGCAAGTGTGGAGGTTTGTGATAAAAAAAGATGAAAAGAAAGGCATATGGGTGCTGAGCTGAGGGCTGGGCATCGATAAGGCCTTGATCTTTCCCAAGAGGGTACGCAAAGCCTACGTCAAACCAGAGACGAGGACTGAAGAACTTCTTCTATTTTTGTTCGTTTGCCACAATATATATTCTATTCCATTTCTATTTGGTGTTAACATATTCATACACTGGAAGATAAAAAAGTACTTGGAAATAACAATTCATCATTTATTCATGCATTCATGATTATGGATTGCACTAAAATTATATGCAGAAGTATGGAGACTTGAGGCCCATCCGAGAATATCAAATATTGACGTGAGAACTACTGTTGATTGTTTTCCCTAAGCCAATCAGAGCACACTTAGCTTTGTTGGACTGGGGGGCTTCAAGAGGCAGGTGTTAAAATGGAGCATTCCTGGCAGAATGTAAACTCAAACAGACTGTATTAATAAAATAATGGATTTTTTGGACATTAAATCAGTGTTGATATGTTCCAGTAGAAATCCAAAATACAAATATGAACCATGAAAAAAGATCTGACCACTTTATGCAACCCATACCATTTGAATATTGACTTCTTTACACAATATTGACATGTCACCATGCCTGCCCATGTTTATCACTAATGAGGCAAACCAAGGGGCAAAAGTGTCCGATAATTCCGATTGATCTTGGTTACCGTGTGGGCTGAACATGAGTTGGCCTACAGTCAACTACTGTAGGGTGGAAATCTACAGTAAATTCAAGGTTACCAACTCTCACGCATCTGGCGTGTGACACACGCTTTCACTCTCAATCTCACGCTCTCACGCTGGCCAAACTATTCTCACGCCAAAAACAAGATGAACCGGCGATCGTTTTTGGTTGGTTATTTACAATGTTGAGTGGGAGCTGCTGGAGCTGTCGATCCGCTCCCTCCCCGCTCCCACCACTCTTAACAACGTTAACAGACAGCAGAGCAGTGGGAGCCGGTTGGTCAATCCCCGACCCGTGTTGCGCATGCGCAGATCTAAGATCCAAGGTCTGTGTGTGTGTTTCATAGGCCTCTCACGATAATTAATTTTGTTGAATACATTTTCCCGGAAATGATTGCGATAAACGATAATATTGTCGGCACCGTTGTATTACCATTTTAGACCATTGACATAATGATAATATATAATAATAATTCAAATACATCCTTTCAAACTGCTAGTCCATCCTCATGTAAATGGCAATTTATCGAGGTCAGAAAAGTTATGGAGTTCATTTTTATTTATCGTACGATAAGTCAATTAATTGCTTATCGCGACAGGCACACAATAAAACAGTGGAAACAAACATGTGTTTGACTTTCATTAGTGAATGAAACTGTGTGCCCTTTTTAGTCTGTGTCCAATATTGTGTATTTGTATATATATCATATATATGCTAAGGTCCCGCTGCACGATAGCAGTCATTTAGTGCGCATATGTGTAATTAAACCCATGATATCAAAATCTCACTCCAGCCAGGTACCCAAAGTTGGCAACCCTGGTAAATTGTAAATACAACTTTATATGCAATTCTCTCCCACTCCAAGCCAAGATGTATCTCAAGTAATCTAGTATCAAGGTTGTTGCCTGTGTTGTGTAAAATAACACTATTTGCCCACCATTCATTACCCAGTTTGGATGTTTTCAGCTTTGGACTTGCATTAGTGCAGATGAAGGAGTAATGACTCCTTCCGGGTGGTTGCTTTGCTTGTACAGTGAATGCCAAACAAA